ACTGTGACCAAGGTAGATGAAGTACCAGCAGGACGGTGGGCCCACCTGGCCCCCACATCATTTGCAGCTAGTTACGTTAATCTTGTTTAGGAAGTGTCTGTATAAACCTGAGCTTATCCTTGAGATGGCACAGAGAAGCTTGGCATGTGCCCTTGGGTCACCGTCCACCTGACCCATTACTCCATAAGTAAGCTACCCAGTGATAAAGCTCTTACCTTTATCTCATGGAATGGCCTATTTCATTGTTTGGCCTCGAGATACCTTTCCAGTTAGGTGGACAATCTGCCCTTGATCCACCTCCAGGAGGGAGGAGGATTACACTTTCCCACGGAAATTACAAAAGTTGTTTGATTCCCAGATGAGGCTACAAAAACCAAAACAAAACAAAATGAATTAACTTGACTGTGCCTGAGCTATTTGCTAAAACAGCAGCTCGAGTGTTGGGTGGCAGGCCCTGAAGCAGCCCTTCATTCTGACAGCTGGGCTTGGTGCCTGGGCCCCAGACGGCCCTGAGCAAGATGATGAAGTGGGGAGAGTTCACCCGCGAGACTGCAGCACCTGACTGCAAGGGCTCACGTCTTGATCCCAGTTGTGTGTAAAGGAGTCATCAATAAATACGACCCTCTCCCTGCGAACCCTTCACTGAACGTTCTTCAGGCACCTCTTCCTCCAGCTTCAACCTACAGACCCCACATGAGGCAGCAGTTTGCAGCCCTGACCTTACACCAAATCAGGGGAGAGTTAAAACCAAAGAGGCGCTGCCCCTAAGCAATTAAATGAGAAGTTGGCCTCAGCAGGCATTTTTTCTTCAATTTGGTGATTCTTTTTTTTTTTTTTTTTTGACCCGTAAGGGGATCTCAACCCTCAGCACGGTGTTGACTGCACCACGCTCAGCACTGCACTCTCCCGAGTGAGCCTCGGGGCCAGCCCCCCTTTGGTGATTCTAATGCACAGTCTTTGTAGCAGAGGAAACGAGGGAGTCTTCTAAGTTAAAATAAGACTAGGGTTGGAATTGCAGCTCTGCCACTTATAATTCTGTTACCTTTGGCTAATCAATTTGTCCCCTCGGAACCTCACCTTGTCATCCCTCCAGGCGGCATCAGGACCTGTGCAGGCTTCCTGTGAGGATCAGCCCAGCCCTCAGGGCTAACTCTGGCTGTTACTCTGTGCTAAGTCAGGTGGTGCCCTGCTGCGCCCCCCCCCCCCCCCCCCCCCCC